AGTGTCCATTGGAAAGAATGTACAACACTCACAAACCAAGTGAATCACCTCATCTGCGATAAAGTTTTTCCACAATTTTGCACGAAAGCAATGAAAGAGCAAAACCAAATCTACATTAGACCGACTGCTTAATCATCACGTCGCACAAACTACGTTTCTCATTTGTACTTATTTTGTGAAGCATACTCACCTCACATAATATACCAAAAGCAATTCCCTTTTCCCAACACTTGGAGGGATAGACACAGAAAGGTCACCGTGACTCACTTTTCCCGTCTCAGAGAGCCCTTCTGATGGTCACCGTGACTCACTTTTCCCCTCTCAGAGGCCTTGTGATGGTCACCGTGACTCATTTCCCCTCTCTCAGAGGCCTTGTGATGGTCACCGTGACTCACTTTTCCCTTCTCAGAGAGGCCTTCTGATGTTCACCGTGACTTATTTCTCCCTCTCAGAGGCCTTGTGATGGTCACCGTGACTCATTTCCCCTCTCAGAGGCCTTCTGATGGTCACCGTGACTCACTTTTCCCCTCTCACAGAGGCCTTCTGATGGTCTCCGTGACTCATTTCTCCCTCTCAGAGGCCTTCTGATGGTCACCGTGACTCACTTTTCCCTTCTCAGAGAGGCCTTCTGATGTTCACCGTGACTTATTTCTCCTCTCAGAGGCCTTGTGATGGTCACCGTGACTCACTCCCTCTCAGAGGCCTTCTGATGTTCACCGTGACTTGTTATTCCCTCTCAGAGAGGCCTTGTGATGGTCACCGTTACTCATTTTCCCGTCTCAGAGGCCTTCTAATGGTCTCTGTGACTCACTTTTTCCCTCTCACAGAGGCCTTCTGATGGTCTCCGTGACTCATTTCTCCCTCTCAGAGAGGCCTTCTGATGGTCACCGTGACTCAATTCTCCCTCTCAGAGGCCTTCGGATGTTCACCGTGACTTATTTTTCCCTCTCAGAGGCCTTGTGATGGTCACCGTGACTCATTTTCCCCGTCTCAGAGGCCTTCTGATGGTCTCTGTGACTCACTTTTCCCCTCTCACAGAGGCCTTCTGATGGTCTCCGTGACTCATTTCTCCCTCTCAGAGAGGCCTTCTGATGGTCACCGTGACTCACTTTTCCCTTCTCAGAGAGGCCTTCTGATGTTCACCGTGACTTATTTCTCCCTCTCAGAGAGGCCTTGTGATGGTCACCGTGACTCACTTTTCCCCTCTCAGAGAGGCCTTCTGATGTTCACCGTGACTTGTTATTCCCTCTGAGAGAGGCCTTGTGATGGTCACCGTGACTCATTTTCCCGTCTCAGAGAGGCCTTCTGATGGTCTCCGTGACTCACTTTTCCCCTCTCACAGAGGCCTTCTGATGGTCTCCGTGACTCATTTCTCCCTCTCAGAGAGGCCTTCTGATGGTCACCGTGACTCACTTTTCCCTTCTCAGAGAGGCCTTCTGATGTTCACCGTGACTTGTTATTCCCTCTCAGAGGCCTTGTGATGGTCACCGTGACTCATTTCCCGTCTCAGAGGCCTTCTGATGGTCTCTGTGACTCACTTTTCCCTCTCACAGAGGCCTTCTGATGGTCTCCGTGACTCATTTCTCCCTCTCAGAGAGGCCTTCTGATGGTCACCGTGACTCAATTCTCCCTCTCAGAGGCCTTCGGATGTTCACCGTGACTTATTTTCCCTCTCAGAGGCCTTGTGATGGTCACCGTGACTCATTTCCCCGTCTCAGAGGCCTTCTGATGGTCACCGTGACTCACTTTTCCCTTCTCAGAGAGGCCTTCTGATGTTCACCGTGACTTATTTCTCCCTCTCAGAGAGGCCTTGTGATGGTCACCGTGACTCACTTTTCCCTTCTCAGAGGCCTTCTGATGTTCACCGTGACTTATTTCTCCCTCTCAGAGAGGCCTTGTGATGGTCACCGTGACTCATTTTCCCGTCTCAGAGGCCTTCTGATGGTCTCCGTGACTCACTTTTCCCCTCTCACAGAGGCCTTCTGATGGTCTCCGTGACTCATTTCTCCCTCTCAGAGAGGCCTTCTGATGGTCACCGTGACTCACTTTTCCCTTCTCAGAGGCCTTCTGATGTTCACCGTGACTTATTTCTCCCTCTCAGAGAGGCCTTGTGATGGTCACCGTGACTCACTTTTCCCCTCTCAGAGAGGCCTTCTGATGTTCACCGTGACTTGTTATTCCCTCTCAGAGAGGCCTTGTGATGGTCACCGTTACTCATTTTCCCGTCTCAGAGAGGCCTTCTAATGGTCTCTGTGACTCACTTTTCCCCTCTCACAGAGGCCTTCTGATGGTCTCCGTGACTCATTTCTCCCTCTCAGAGGCCTTCTGATGGTCACCGTGACTCAATTCTCCCTCTCAGAGAGGCCTTCGGATGTTCACCGTGACTTATTTTTCCCCTCTCAGAGAGGCCTTGTGATGGTCACCGTGACTCATTTTCCCGTCTCAGAGGCCTTCTGATGGTCTCTGTGACTCACTTTCCCTCTCACAGGGCCTTCTGATG